TTCGTGATTTACTAACCTCATCTAAAACCACGTGTTCACATCATGAAGGCTGTCATCCCTGCAACAAACCACGTTGCAAAGTGTGCGCGCACATGACGACATCTAAAACAGTTTTAAGTACATCGTCCAGTTTTTCTTTAAAGATAAATGGGAACTTCACGTGTGATAGTATAAACGTCATCTATCTTCTCGAGTGTTCAACATGCGGAGCTCAGTACATAGGTCAAACAGAGACAAGTTTCAGAATTCGTTTTAATAATCACCGTGCACATGCCGTAAGCCTCCCTAATCTACCGCTGTCGAAGCACGTCAGTATGCCTGGCCATGGTTTCGACAAAATTAGGGCCACTATTATTCAGTCCGGTTTCAAGACAAATCACGATAGGGAAGTGAGGGAATCCTTCTTGATCCATAAATTTAACACCATTCGTTCAGGTATCAATGAAAACGTAGGAAAGCTCACCTGCCTCGCACGATAACAACACGACTTCTTAGGTTAGTAAAATATTTTAGTGTGTATTAGAATGTATATTAGTCAACCGTGGTTTCATTACTTCAAAGCTCTTTTGCATGTCCTGCCAACCATACTGTGCCCCGCGTGTCGATGCGCAAGGAAATTTGAGACTTGTATATTCATGCACCCGTCACATGTCAGTCATATCAACAGAAGGTTCTCACAGATTACCATTTTTTTACTTTGATTGTCCTAGCTGCTATACCGAGAGTTCATCACGTGAGCCTATAAAAGCGGCTGCATTGTATCATACCTACTTACTCTGACGAAGGCCGTGCCATGGCCGAAACGTTAGTAAATACGATCCTTTTCTTATGTGCTATTTGCAAGTTAACTCAATATATATATATAGAATGAACTGACAAATATCTCGAAGGATGAGGCAGGCAATAGCCGCAACTTGAATTTTCTTTCACTCAAGAACAAAACCTCCAAATGAAGGAGATCAACTCAAGCAATATAGATTCATTCGTTACATTCGCCCAGTCTTTCAATGCAAAGCATTTCTTGGTGAACTACGGCGACATTGCACGTATCTGTCTATGTACCTATATATCCAGCCGCCTATGAAGTTTAGATCTCCTGATCGTTTCGGTGATGAGATCTATACGAAAATTGCTATGGCATGACTGTATGACAAGCATAAGTGAGTTGTAGTATTGTTACGAGAAGAAAATCATGACATGAATGTCATGCTTTACATGTCATTTTGTGCTGCTCTGATATTGATGTGGGCTTTAACGTCCCAAAACCACCATATGATTATGTGAGACGCCGTAGTGGAGGGCTCGAGAAATTCGACTGCCTGCGGTTCTTTAAATTGCACCCAAATCTGTGCACACGGGCCTACAACATTTTCTCTTCAACGGAAATTCAGCGGCCGCTGCCGGGATTTGATCCTGCGACCGGCGGGTCAGCAGCCGAGTAACTTTGCCACTAGACCACCATGGCGGGGCATTTCTTGCTGCTCTTGCGGTGGTTTTGTTCACATGATATATAGCAAAACTTTTATGTCATGACTGCATGGCGAACATAGGTGACAGGCCCTAACATGCGTGTCATGTACAAACATGACTACATGTCAGGCTCATGATGCACCCACCACTGTTTCGCCTGCTTCTCTTATACCGATTTGAATATTACGTGACGTGAACGGACGACGAAGGTAAATGACACGTTTAAAAATGATAATCCTGACATGCGTGTTACGTAAACATTAACTACATGCTACACTCATGATGCACTTGCGGCCGTTTTGCTAGCTCTACACATAGCTTTAGACTTTGGTGGTACGTGAGGTGAATGGATCACAAAGCTAAATGACTGGTGCAAACATGAGAATCATGACGTACGTGCCATATAAGAACATGACTACATACCATGCTCATGATGTGCTTGCAGTCGTTTCGCTAGCTTCACATGTACCAAACCTGCTATTACGCGATGTGAATGGACGATGAACACAAATGCCAGGCGCACACTTGATAATCATGACATATACGTCATGTACGGCATAATTTACATGCGTATCACTGCTGAGGCTGGTATCGCGAGCGTTGGTGGTGCCATCGTTACGCGACTATAAACATATTTTAATTTATCTAGACACCTCACTGCGCATAGGATTTCTGCTTGTTTTTACATTCACTACTTCCACACGCCTCGTAACGTTGTGCTGATTTTCATGGGACATATCAACCTTGATCATTCGCCCGTCGCATATCATCGATCCTAACTGTACGTTGAATCTGCCTTTTTTTAAGATGGTTACGTCAGACGACAACTGCCTTTTCGTATTTATACACGTTGTAGCACGAAAAAAATGTCACTATACGCACTGAATGATGATGAGTAGGGCGAAGCTTCTGAAGATTTTATTGGCAAACCGTGAATCATTCGCTGGCCACGTCCGTCTGTCGTTTGCGTGTCTGTTTGACACATGCACGAACAGATGGACAGACGCATGAACGAATGAAGGGACGGACGGACGCACGGATGGATGGATGGATGGACGAACGCACGTACAAACGCAGGGACGGACGCATAGACAGACAGACGGATGGGTGGACGCACAAATGAATGGACGAATGGCCGCAAGGATTAAAGCAAGGACGGACGCGTGGACGCATGAATGGGCGCACAGATGGACGCGCGAGAGGACGGACGGATGGACTTTCGCATGCACGGATGCATAAATGGACGGACGCAAGAATGGACGGACGAATGGATGGAAGCAAGAACGATCGAACGGACGGAAGCGTGGACGGATTGACGGACGCTTCGCCCCACTCATCATCATTAACTCAATGGATATGCTTGAATTTTTATTATTCATCACACTACAAGTAATGTCCTCTAGTATCGTGCCACTTGCATTTTTCAGTATATAGGCATTTTGTTATATGTACTAGTACCACCCTCGACAGCCGGTTCAAGAACCTACGAGAAGAGGCTACATCTGATTACGACGGGACGCTCTGCCCGCGTCTTAAGGAGTTTCGCCCCTAGAACTGTTAGCTGCTCTAGGACAGTCGAGTACTTGTGCCTTTGTTGAAGCGAGCACAAGTGCTTTTGTCGACAGTAAATGACAAACAAAAACACTGTAACACATGAGAGAACCACATTACGCAAATTGCCAGAAGACAATGACGTAGATGTGCAACGAAGATTCACCAGTGCCCAGAGCCGTAGGCAGAAAAGGGCACCACCTTTATTCGAAGAGTGGGGCGGGCACAAAGGTGCGGCCGTGTGCTGTTTTGTACTCTGTAGCTCATCGCTAAAAAAACTTTCACGACGAGGGGGGCGAAAGTACCACTCCTGCCTACGTTGCTGCCAGTTCATGTACAGCTGCTAGCATGAAAGGACCGAAACGGATGTAATGGTGGTCGGTTTTACGTAAAAACAGGGAAGCCAAAAGTCGCGTTTGCAATTTGTAGGCCTGACAAAACAACAATAAAAATGGCTTGAAAATGACGTTTACCCACTTGTTGTTTTAGGGGCGAAGATCCTCTTAATCTAACTTTGTCCTGCGTTATGCGTAACCGGCAGTATCCGACAAACAGACTGACAAGCAAATTGACAGACAGATAGATGGACGGACAGACGGATGGACAGAACCATGGAAGGAAGCACGGAAGAACGCACGGAACTAACTGACGCATGGATGAACGCGCGGACAGATGAAAGGACGGACGCACAGACGAACAGACAGACAGACAGACAGACAGACAGACAGACAGACAGACAGACAGACAGACAGACAGACAGACAGACACAGACAGACAGACAGACGCTTCGCCGAACTCATCATGAATCACTGCGTGAGTATGCTGTGTTTTTACGATAATATTTTTGTTTACGATTGTTGTTTCAAAAGCGACTCAATTCACTTTGTACCTGTGAGGGGCTCTCAACGTGTTGGCCGGCTGCCATGTATATTTGTTTAAAACGAACCGTTATCGTCTCCCTCCAGCAGGTTTTCTCACTTCTTTGTCGTGGAATGCTGTGCTGAGGTTAGTTGAGTGTTTGTGCCGTTTCAAAAGTGATCGCAGATATCCTAACCCTTTATATGAAAGGGGAGTACATGTTTTTGATGGCATCCGACATCAGTGCCTTGGTTGTGGTTGCAGTGGCAGCAGAGGAACCACAATTCACGTTTTACGAACAATACGTTTTGATTAAAAAGTATTTCCGAGACCTGTCGTGGCTCTGTGGTAGAATGCTTCATTGATATGCAAACTGCTGGGGCTCCATCGCCACTGCGACTTTGACATTTATTATTAGCATTCGTGAGATCAACACTGCCGATGTCATGTTTTTAATTCTCAAAAGTTAAGATTATACTATTGCGTGTTCTCGTCGTTCCTGGGTAGACACTAAGTGTTGATCACCTGTCAATCACATGGACGCATACCAGTGGCCTATATCCACCTGCGGGCATGTGTCTCTGTTCGGCGGGAAGTGTTCGACGACGTACGTGACGGGAATATTATAATAATCATGTATTGATCAGCACGTCGTATTCGTGAAACTATCTTACCCTCCCACACTAATTTTTATTCATGCTAAGCTAAGGGTGTTGTCACGAGAGCAACCAGACGTCAGCGGCTAGATAGGTAGATAGATACGCAGACTGACGCCAAGAGTGCTTGTAGTACGCGAAGAAATGCTTCGCATTTAAAACAGTATGCGTGACTTTTTTCGGCTTGTCCTCACTTTCCGTGTATAAGAATGTCTTAAAAAAAAACTGCAGGAAGACGGCAGCTTTTAGTGATTAAATAAACTCGCGGAGAGATGTTTAGAGCCGACAAATCTTCCTCCAGGACGGGGCAAAACTGACAGAACAGAACAGCTCAATGAGTGTTGACGTGCTGCTTTAAAGACACTCATATATGTGGCAAGTCTTTTTTTTTTCTCAAAATGTTTTTCTCCAACTTTCAAAGACGTTCCCATTTAGTTCAAAAGAAGCATGCATGCAGCATAATACCTAGTTGCTTCGGTGAAGCCTTGTACCAGAAAGAGCAGGCCTGTCGACAGCCAGGAAACTGCGAAAACGGTGCACCATCACTGCAATGCTTGTACATGTCACGGGATATAGTAAGAAATCAACATTCAGTGTTTTGTGAAAACACTGGCACTGACATTTTTGAAACATTTCAGAAATGTTTAATGTCAGCGTAGTCGGCACTCGGCACGTTTTCTCGTGCACTACAGACTTGTCAGAATAAACTGGCTTGCCTATTTAGGTTAATACCGTCACTATTTTGACCATAAAAAAAGACGGGAACCCGTGGGGTTGCTTGGAGAATTGTTACTGTGCCCTTCTTTGAGAAAAATGTCACTTAAGACTCAACAACATGTAGAGAGGTACTGACAGATATTGACATTACAGAGAGTCGATAGTCGCGACCCTTCAATAGTCGCTACTTTATTTAGGGTTGCGACTGTCGAAGCCTCATTCCAGTCACCCAGTAACTACTTATAAATCGTATGCATTCATATTTTACGAACAGCTGAATTCATTTATATAAACTCGGGTGCATGCGCCTGAGCTCTGTGTTTGGGCACCAGTCAAGTTCAAGCGTAATTACAGCAGCTGAAACCCTTGTGAACTCAAGCGCTATAAGGACTTCGTGACGGTGAAATAACCCCTAGAAAGAACGACGACAAAGACGTTGTTCTTCTAGACTCACAGTTATTTCTAGATCTTCACCCTCAAACTTATGCGAACACGCGTTACTGGCTGTCATTCAAAATTATTGTGCTTTATGTTTTTTTCACACTGGCGATGCGAAACTCTTTTGTGGAGCAGGAGCAACATAGTGCTAGCCGCTTTCGTAACAGTATATTCGATGTAATCAGATTTCTTTCGCAGTTCATGCAATAGATGAACTGCGAAAATTGTTTTTTGTGTTCAGAGTTTTCTTAGGGAGAGGAGTACGTGTTTCAAACAGAGCTCGTAAATTTATTTTGTTACAAATTATACTGAGAGATTTTATTCTATGTTTTTTACAGAAGTAAAACAACCTGACCAAGTGCGATACAGAATGCAGTCGATGCCGAGTGTTTCAGTGCTTCAAGAGAAACGAAACGCATCGTGACGTTCAATTTGTCTTGTTTTCTTTGATACAATTTATATGAAACAAGCAAACGAATACTCACACACAATTCCTCCACCGCGCACATGTGTCTCCATACTTCGAAGTCGTCGTTGAAGAACCTGCACACGTCCCAGCACTGGAAACGAGAGAATGTACAAGGATCTTTTGAACACTGGGCAGTCACTGTCCCGGGTACGCGTCGTCATCGATGGCTGGTGTGGAGATTTAAAGTGGAGAAACGCTTGGAATACACTTTTTTATGCTGGGAGTAGCTCAGCAGCTGCAACTTGATTTACGCTCGTATGATATTTATTTATTTATTTATTTCAATACCCTTAGGGCCCGGGGGCATTACAGAGGGGAGTGGGTTACACAACATAATGAAAAAGCGGAAAATTGGTGGTTACATGGATCAGTGAAGGAAACCAACAAGAAATAATGCATATTATAAGAACAAAAACAGGTATTAAAGAACTACAAAGCTTAACAGGTCTACTGAAAAATGGAAATACTATATTCCTAAATATTATGGCGACAGGTTAGTTATAGCAGCCTTAAACATAGAGGTATTAGACATCTCGACTACAGATCGGGGAAGGTGATTCCAACTTGCTGACGTACGGGGGATGAATGAATTGTAAAAATGGTGGGTGTGGCATGTGGGAATGCCAACCTTATGACTATGGTCGATGCAAGCGGATACGTAAGAAGAAAGGTTATCAATTTATTCTTAAGGACTGAATTGTGGTAATATATCTTGTGAAACAGGCAGAGGCGAGATATTTCTCTACGTTGTGAGATGAGAGGTAATGATAAAGTTGTTTTCATGGAAGTGGCGCTGGAGGTGCGATGATAGTTGGAAAGAATGAAACGAGCAGCCCTACTCTGGATGGATTCAAGCTGATGAATGAGGGTTTCTTGGCTGGGGTCCCACACAGATGCAGCATATTCCATTTTGGAACGTACTAATGACTTATACAGAAGTAATTTTACTGGAAAGGAAGAAAGATGAAAATTACGGCGTATGAAGCCCAGCGTGCGATTAGCATTATTGGTTACAGGTGTTACATGCATCTTCCAGGAAAGATCAGAAGTGATGAGTGCGCCTAGATACTTGTAACATGACACAGGTTCTAGGTTAGTATTATTAAGATGATGAGAGGGCAATGTTGTATCGCGACGTGAAACGCGCATGTGCTTGCATTTGTTAGTGTTTAACTCCATGTTCCACGTGTTAGTCCAGTCACGAACACGCTCTATATCTGATTGAAGAAGATAGACGTCAGAGTCGCTGTTATTAACACGGTATATAACACAGTCGTCTGCGAACAGGCTTATTGATGGACATAGATTATCAGGTAAGTCGTTTATGTAGATGAGGAGAAGCAAAGCTCCCAGCACAGAGCCTTGAAGCATGCCTGATTCAACTGCAGAAGTGATGGATGAGGTGTCATTCACAGTGACAAATTGGGAACGATCAGTGAGAAAAGAGTGAAGCCATTGAAGAACGTTCGGATCAATGTTAAGTTTGCTGAGTTTTAAAAGAAGCAGTTGATGAGAAACCTTGTCGAACGCTTTTGAGAAGCCTAAGAATATGCAGTCGACAATGGAACCCCCGTCAAGAATGAAATCTAGGTCATGTGTGAATGTCAAAAGTTGTGTTTCACATGAAAATGACTTACGAAATCCATGCTGGTGATCTGTGAAAAAGGAGTTTGACTGTAGGAAAGATGCGAGATGAGAGCAAATAACATGTTCCATAACTTTACATGAAATACATGTGAGTGATGAGTGAGATTGGTCGATAATTATATGAAGAATGCCTATCCCCAAACTTGTGCAAGGGAATCACCTTTCCTACCTTTCAGTCTTCCGGAATGCAACCGGTATGAAGCGATTGCTGAAATATATTAGTGAGAATGATGGCACTGTACACTTTAGTACTAATTAAAAACTATGAATTGATGCCATCAACACCACATGATGATGAAACTTTTAGATTTTTTATGATTTTTTCTATATCGGCAGCATCAAAGACAATGGGGTCCATTGTTAAGAAATTCGAACTAGCATATGGGGGAGTTACTGAACACACGTTTTGTGAAAAAGCAGAAACAAATACAGAGTTCAGAAGATCTGCGGATTCTTCAAGTTTGATTATGCGATTGTTTGCATCTTTAAGGGTGATTGAGGAATTGTCTCTTTTGTTCACTACATTCCAAAATTGCTTAGGGTTGGTAATTAAAAGAAATGGTAATGTAGTATTGAAAAATGAATCCTTAGCATCTTTTAGGGCTTGTTTGTATTCCGTAGCTACGGCCTGATAATCACTCCAACGTTCTTGAGTGCCAGTTACCTTTGCAGAGCTCAAAATGCATTTTTTTCTTATTGGGTAGTCGTTTAAGCGATTGACTGAACCATGGTGATTGCAAGTTAGATGTGATGACTATGCGTGGCACATATTTTTCTATGAGTGATAGAACCTTTTCTTTGAATAAAGTCCAGTTAGTATTACCGGAGCAATCATGAAAGTTGTGCATGTAATCACTTAAAAAAGCTGAAAGATCATGATTAATAGCATCAAAATCTGCACGTTTATAGTCCCCTATATATTTTTGGGGTTCCTACTGTGAGATACTGTGCAGGTGAAAGAAAAATGAAGCAGCAAGTGGTCGCTTAGCCCCTGCAAGTAGGATATGGAATAGGAAAGATCAGGCGCAGTGGTGAGCACTAAATCTAAGATGTTAGATGCGGTAGACGTAATTCGTGTTGCCTGTGTTATTAGCTGGGACAAGTTAAAATCGTTGCGCAAATTCAAAAACGCGTATCTCGCTCCGGAGAAAGAATGACAAGTGGAATGCACGTTTGACCAAACTAAGTCGCCTAGTAAAATGAGTGGACTATTCGGATACCGTACTGTTAGCGTGGAAATGAAATCATGAAGCTCGTCAACAACAATGGATGAACAGGATGGTGGTCGATAACAAGCGCCCAATATGAACTTCTTGGAACACGTTTGTATATCAACCAAAACAAGTTCCAAAGCAGTACTAAAATGAATTGGAAAAGACGAAATCGTATCTGAAACCGCGATAAGCACACCGCCTCCACACCGAACACCTCTGCAACAACGGTAAGTGTTGTAGTGTTTTCTGCAATCAAATAATTCACTGTTATCAACCTGCGCAGACAACCAGCTTTCAGTAAGGCAGATTATGTTGGCGTTAGAAGCATTGCTAACAGAGCAGAGATCGTCACGTTTTGTAATTAGGCTTCAAATGTTTGTGAAAAGAAACGAAAGTTGATTTGCGACTGGTAGCTTTGATCCACTTCCCCTCGAGTAGCGCTATTCGGTGGTGTGCACAGTTGCATGCGGCGACTCACGCGAGAGATGTGAAGTTTTGACTGATGACTTAAAGAATTCGGAGATTTCACGTGCTCAATCATCAGAGGGGTTGTAGATGTAGCACTTTCTATTTACGTACAGTTTGTTAAAGCGAAGCTTAAATCTTGAGGATTGAGTTTTGCCAAATTGAGCCAGTTTCTTTCTGGCAAGGCGAGTAGCTGGCGAATAGTCTTCACTAACGGCAACATTTACTTCCTTCAGTTTCGAACTACTCAGAAGTATTTGCTGCTTGAGCTTGAAGGAAGAGGATTTGGCAATGATTCGCCGGCACTTATTGGGATGATAACCGCCAAGCCTGTGTGCTCGTTCGATTAGTATTTCAGAGGGTGCTATTTCTAATCTGGATGAAAACACATTCATCAGGTTTTCTTCTGTCTGAGCCCAGGACTTTGACTGGGCATCAAGCAGCCCATAGAATAAGAGGTTGTCTCGCCGCTGCATATCCTCGAGCTCACCTTGCCGAGCACGCGGTTGATCGTTTTCGCTGCTAATATGGCTAATCGATGGGCGAAAACGCTGTATCTCTTCCTGGACTTCCTCAATCACGACCATTTTGCGCTCTACTTCAGTTAATTGTTTGCCTAAAACAGTAAGGTTTTCTTGAAAACACGCCTGTGTTTCTTTAAGCTCATCAACAGATTTGATTAGATCTGTCTGGTCCCTCTTCATTTTTTCGGTACGCCTGTTTACAGCTTGTAACATAATGAATATAATGCCTCTGGTGTTCTGTGCCAGTGAACAGTGGGTCAGTTCTGTGCCGGTGAACGAGGAAGACGAAGACGAGCAACCCGTGCCAGTGGAGACGTCTTTCTTGGTCTCTGAGATTTTCGACAGTCGCGTCCCTTTATACGTTCCTTCGAGCTCTTAGCACGTGACAACTGGTGGAGGTGCTTGGTACCCTATGCACCGATCCCCTCCTAGTACAAGAAGCTCCAGCCCCATACCGGTGGCTACGCCTGTTCACCGTGCTAGCCGCAGGATCCGTGGACTGGACCCTGAGTTCGGACTTCTCTCTGAAGAGATGACGGCCCCAACCATTCCAGGCAGCGCCGTCTCAAGCGGCTCCAACCCAGCCGGTATGAAAGGCGCAACGCCATCGCAATATACACTCTTCAAACCAAAAACGCCGAATCCCTTTCATGGTGCTGTCCATGAGGATGTTGAAGATTGGCTACTCCACTATGACTTCGTTGCCACTCATAACATGTGGGATGACACAGACAAGCTCCGACATGTCTACTTCAGTTTGAATGACGGGGCACGGGTTTGGTACGAAAACCGGGCAGGTGTGTTCACGTCAAGGGTGGACTTCAAACGCCGGCTTCTTGAAACGTATGCAAGTCCCGATCACCGAGAGCGAGCCGAACGTGAACTCCAGTGCCATATGCAAATGCCAAATGAAGGCGTAGCAATGTATGTTGAGGACATGACGCGTCTTTTTCGACGAGCCGACCCTCACATGCCGGAAGAGAAGAAGGTACGTTACCTGATGCGTGGAGTGAAGGAGCAGGTGTTCGGTGGTCTTGTACGCAGCCCCCCCAAGACTACGTCAGAGTTTCTTGCTGAAGCCGTCCTGATTGAAAGCACGCTTCGGCAACGGACCCAGACGTACGAGCGACAAGTGACTTTGCTTCTGCTACGGACTACATGGGTGGTCTTGGGGCCCACGTCGACTTCTTCCGAGAGCTCATACACTCCGTAATTCGCGAAGAACTGCAGAAGTTTTCTGC